GCCCGTCGGCATTCGCGGCTATACCTTTTTCTCGTTGTCTAACATTATGCAGCAGCATTTAAAAACTTTTTAGTGTCTAATATTGTTCGAGAGAGCATGCCTCGCATTAAAGAATACGTTACAATGTTAAAATAAACGTATTTCTCGAGATATATCCGTGTCGTTTGTCGCATTTTAGAGCATTTACTTTTCCGCGGCGACAAGCACGAGCACTGCGATGCATTCGCAGTTTATTCATACATATATCATTTAAGAAAAAGTAATTAATATAATTACATTACTAATTTAATAAACACATATTAATTTAATATTAAATTATTAATAAGTAATAGCGAAGAATGTAATATGCATTCGTTAAGACGTTTGAAAGATCATAAAAATTATGAAAAGAATTCTAGGTTTCTCGCCTCCGGCTCGTGCGTCCACTCCGCACGTCCAATTTTCAACTTAACACACGTGTTACACACCCTATTTTATTTTATGTGGCAAGTGCCTGGAAAGTGGTCTATCACGCACGCGTAGCGTGCGTAATAAGGCACTTTCCATGCACGTGTTGCATAAAATACTTTTCTTCTTCATCTTGATTTCGTAATTCTACATTATCATAAGCTTCATTGTCATCTACAGCGGTCGGTAAAGGAGTAACTCGATATGTAGAACAGGTGAATCGAGGCCGCCATGTCGAGTGTCGAGTTCTGTCACAAAGGCTGGGTATCGTGCGCCGTGCGAGGCGTTATCTTTCCTCGCGACAATGCCATGTTGCTATGTTATTGCGGGGAAGACAGAGCGTTCGCGCTTTTTAACAGGTCTACGACGCGGGCTGGTGCACGGCGAGTGACGCTCGCGGACGAGACGTCCGTATGAGAGTGCGCGCCGCCAGGCCCGATGGCGAAACCGGAGCGGCTTCGCTTCACAATTCTGGATGACTTGATACTTTTGCGCGAGGTCTCGGAGCAGAACCCGTACGAGGAGAGCGACAGGTGGAAGACCGTCGCCGAGCGAGTCGTGAGCGCGACGCATAAGAACTTCAGCTTGCGCTGCGTCAAGGAGCACGTCGATCACCTGCTGAAAATCTGGGCCAGGGAGGGCCGCGCACACTTGAGAAAGTAAGCGAGCACGCTCGTCGCTTTGTTTTAATATTAATTAATTACATAAGATGTATCGTAATTGACGTGCCATCTTAGGCGAGTTGTTAAGATAATATCGTTGGCCATTTACTTCATGATTTTAAAGGTGTTTGCCACGTGCTTCCACTGTATACATTGTACCTTTGCTGGGTCTTTAGGTCGGGGACCGAGGAGCAGTATAATGAGAAAGAAGGACTCCTTCAGCAAGTGCAAGACTTGCAAAAGGAATTCAGGCGTTCTGGCAAAGGCTCTAATGCGCAGAAGTCAAGAATACCGAGGGATGTGACGCTGGAGAACATTTCTGACACGTTAGAAGTGATAATAGAGGAGCCAACGATGCCAACATCCATACCTTCATCGTTCATGTCTTCGACATTGCTACCAATTGCTTTACCTTCGCCAACTTCGTCATCCTCGTCTTCGTCGTCGACTCCATTAACTTCAGGGAGCCCGCTGCGGTCGCCAACCACGTCGCCGTCGAGAACAGGTGGCCCGATAAGGAACAAAGTGCGCCACGATGCACTGAAGAAATCAACGTTACATTTTTTGCAAGAAAGACATAAGAGGGAAGTAGAATTCCAAGAGAAGCAATTTCGTCTCGAGGAGAGGAGAATTCAACTTGAGGAAGAAAAATTCAAGATGGAAAGAAAGGAACGCGAGGCGAGACTTGAATTGGAAATTGAAGAAAGGAGGCAAAGGATCGCGATGTCCAAACAGAAACAAGAGATTCTGGAAATATTGTTACAACTAATACATAAACCTTGATTATTTTTGTAAGTGATAGTTTGTCTTTATTTTATCGGTTCATAAATAAAACTATTGTTAAAAAAATGTTCCATCTTGCAACGATACTTATTATACATAAAAGAAAGATAGAGATTTTTTATTAAACCAAACACTTGTTTCAAATAGCACTACTATAAGTACGATTAAATATATTTATAACAAATATATCTTTTATTATATGAAGACAGAAGTAATAAAAAAATAATATATTGGAATAAATTGTAATATATAAATTAATATATTGGAATAATTGTGTCTTTAAATCGCAAACCCAATCATAATATTTAAAAATCTATGATATGCAAATTTTATATTTATTACAGATATACTTTTTAAAATTAGACTGTAATTTTTCAAGCTGATCTTCGAAGGTCCTCGATAGTATAGTGGTTAGTATCCCCGCCTGTCACGCGGGAGACCGGGGTTCGATTCCCCGTCGGGGAGGTTTTTTGTATTTTTTCTTTTTTTTTTTGTCATTATCAGTATTATTTATTATTTTATTATTATCAGTTGCATTTAACAAATAATATAAACACAACGTACATCAGATTAAACATTGCAAATGTCGATATCTCTTTTAAATAACTTGAAGTAGACAGAACATTTGAAAACGTAAACGTAATGTAGAATTCTTATTGTTTGTAATGTTCTCTGTATAATTGCGCTAATACAGGATTAGAATTCTTAGAAAATATATTTATAAATTTCGATATTGATCGTTTCGTATAGCGGACATCGGAGATAATTTTTTACAAGATGTGTATTTAGTACGATACCCTACCCTAATTCACTAATGCTTATTTCATTAATGCAGATTTAATTTTAACCTTGGATTAACTCATTTTCAATCTTTTTCTAACTCTTAGAACTAGAAAGAGATAAAAAAAAATACGTTAAACTAAAATTAAAGTTACTCTATACATTAATAAAAATGGACATAAATTGCAGTCAAACGTGATCGCTTCCTATCTTCGAATCCAACCAATCACATTCAATCGCTACTCAACTGTTCAGTAAGCGGCTGTAATATTGGCTGCATCAAAAGTAACATTTGGGCGCGTTCAGCAGAACAAACCGCTCAGTAGCAATCAAACGTGATTGGCTCTTACTTTTAGATTTTTAGAACCAACTAATCAACGCAGATTGTTGATAAGACGAGACTCAACAGTTGTGTTTGCTGAACGCGCCCAATTTGATAGCCTACGTGGCCAAATCATAGGGTCTCTCAGTCTCCGATTAACGTGATTCTCCGATTAAACTCACTCTTCGTCTCTTTCTAGGGGGATAGTTAGAAAGAGATGCAGAGTGAGTTTAATCGGAGAATCACGTTAATCGGAGACTGTGAGACCGGCCCATAATCTAATTTTCTGATTGGTTGATCCAGTAGAAAAATTCCAAGCATTGGTTATAATTAATTGGGGCCAAATTAATCGCGATACGTCAAGTGGGATTATGCGCTCTCCTTTTGCAGGCATGTATAGAGTGTGAACGGAGCCTTGACCCGGTTCGCGTCGCGACGCGTCGCGCCGGAAGATGGCGGGGGCGATGCGCGCGCGCGCACCGACAGCGCCAGCTATACTCCGTTCGGTTGAGCAAGCGTGGCTAATCAAAGCACCAAAAGGTAAGCCGCGAGGGCTGTTTATTTTTGGTATTTCGTCGGGTAGCTGTGCTTCGCGTCGGCAATTTGCATGAGTAATGCGCTTCCTGGCCGCGTCGGATCGTGCATCGTGCTCGAAAAACAGCTGACGAAGCAGCAATGACCACGGAAACGTAGGTGTGAATGCGCCGGACGGGGGGCCGTAACTTGTCGGGCATCTTGCCTAGTAAAGCGGAGCTCCATTGCACACCCCCGCGCTACCCCGTTCTCCGTCTCCGTCTCCGTCTCCGTCTCTGTATACGTACGTATACGTACGTTGCTCTCGTCCCGTCTCCCCCCTGTCGATCCCGCGTTCGCGCCGCTCTCTAACCAATTCTGCCCGCGCAATGTGGACAGCGGTAATCGTCACCGTCGCTGCCGTCATCCTCGTCGTCGTCGTCGTCGACGAGACGCTCGCGCACCGTGCGTAGGAGCCAGCGAAGCGAGAGCGAACGAGAAAGCGTGCCACTCGCGGGTGCCGCACGTGCAACCTCTTCGTCGGCCTTCGTCGCTTTTCTCCTCGCCGTACCTACGCCTACCGGCCTAACACTTGAATAACGGGATTTTCCCCACGGTTTCTTCTGCCGCAGGAAAATGAGCAGCTCCGAGGAGGTGTCCTGGATCTCGTGGTTCTGCGGTTTACGCGGGAACGAGTTTTTTTGCGAGGTGAGTAATCGTGGGCGCGTCTCCCCAGCATTATCCCAGGTAGCATTAATGTCTAAAAGACATCATAAAGATGTCTTTAAGATGCCAGAAATCTTAAAGATGTCTTTATGATGTCTTTTAGACATTAATTTCTATCTGGGTATCTTGGCTGTATATTTGAAAACTCAGCGATATGTACACTTTTAATACTGGAGGGGGCCAGATTACTCTTACGTTCTACAATGCGAGATGGTGCATTCGTGGAGCGTGTGCTATTAGCGTTATCGCATCACTCTACCTTTATTGCTCATCAGATGTAAAACAAGGATAGAATAAGCAGATAGCCCTAATAGCGTACTCTGCAAATGTACCCAAAGTACGATGTTTATTCTACAAATGTGTATATAATGTGTTTGTAATTGCTGTAAGAATGATGGAGCGTGGTAAAATAGTATAATCCAAGCTAGACATTATTCTTCGTTTTTCTATTTGTGATTATATATATGTATATATATATATATATTTTTTTTTTTAGCAATCTTGCTATACATAACTGTGGCACTGTACTTAAAAATATACAACTAAATTCCTATTTTGTTTTATAAATCTTGATTATGATAATTAAATATATATATATATATTTAAATCTTAATACTTTGCCAATCATCCAAATTGTGCCTGACTAAGTGCTGAGCATTGCACAATTTTTGTGACCCGCATCGTCGTTGAAGATTCTCTTTCTTTTATAATTTCTCTGAGTACTGCTTCTTCAAACTAAATCACAGAAGAATGGTGTGGAAAACAGATAAATCTATTATTTGGTCGTTCAGTGATGAATCA